GATTTATCACCAATATGTAATAAATGTGATTCTATAAATATAACTAAATTTAATTTTAATTCATCACGAATGTTTAATGTATATGACAATATACTTGTAAATAAATCAAATTTTATTTTACGATGAACATTTAATGGATATGATTCTATAGATATAAATGAATAACGCTTTAATTCACCATAAACGTTTAATAAATACGATAATATAAATGCAAATAAATCAAACTTTAATTCACTATGAACATTGAATGAATATGATTCTACAAATAAAAATATATACAATTTTGATTTATCACAAACATTTAATGAATATTATTACACACATAAATAAGAATAATGAAAATTATTACAATGCAGATATATGCATTCTCATCTAAGTATTCGATTGAATAAATTTACCACCAACAGTTTTGCGTGAAAAAATTTTAAAAAGATGTCCCTAAAGGTCAGAGTATATTTAAAAAATCAAGGATATACAAAGGCGGGGAAACCGCAAAATTTCGTCATGCACCGTCACCGCCCCGCCCCACCAAGTTTTAGCACCGCCCCGCCGGCGGGGCGGGGCGGGACGGGGCGGTGTTACACCGCGACTCGCTCATCTCCGGTTGAAACCACTATTTTGAATTCCATATAAATGACACAATAGAAAATATATTACGAGATGTCTTTAAAACTATTTATGATTATTTTCTTTTTCATAAAATTAAAAAGATATTGTATTTTTTTTTAGCTGTAACAGTACAAATAGGACGATTCAGAATTTTACCGATAAGTTTCATTATTGTACTAATGTAGCTTAAATACTTTTCTTTACGATTCGTACTACGTAAAATTCTGCGTTTTTGTTTCTTATCACAACAATGTCAAAGAAAGGTAAACTTTTTCTTTTGTTAGATTAAAATACTCATTACATATACTTCTATAAGTTACATTTTGAAGCATTTGTGCATCAATATTTGGTGTATATTATTTGTTTTTCGTTGTTAATAGTATTTGTAAAATTAATGGTAAATATTTAGGTACTAATTGTGAATTTAATGATTGTTCTTTAAGTCCTACCATCTTTTCAATATGAAGACAAACAATTGATTCGACTACCGGTAATACAAATATATATAAATGTACGAAGAATTTTAACGATGTTAATAATAATGTATTTGGTTTTAATAAATTATTTCTAATAGTCTATATTGATTGAATAAGTAAATAATTTCCAGCTAATGTACGATCTATAAAGCCAAGAAAATTATTAATATGAAAATGTATCAAGATGATGTATAGTTTCATCATGAATTAAAAATTCACGAAAATTATTTAGAATTGTTTAGCTAAAATAAAATTAGAGATATTATAAAATCATAGAAATTTTAAATTCAAATAAATGGTACTATCATAGAAGATAAATCCAATTATGGACCGAACTAAACGGAAAGGACGATTGATATTCTAAAAAACAATTTAAACTTTAGAAAAATTTTATGAATAAAAAAAACGAACTTTTCTGTTTGCTAATGCTCGAAATGTAACAATAAATGGATCAATTAATCGTAATTCAAATAATGATACAACAATAAAATTTGTTAATTATGTAGAATAAATATCCAAAAGTGATTGATCCTAAAAAGTAAAGTGAAATCTAAGATTATCAAAGAAAGAAAAATAACCTTAGATGATGCCATAGTAACATGTAATTGTAAATGAATAAGAAGTCCATGGAGAATTTGTCGTGAAATACAATTCCATTAATCACCTTCATGTTGAATATTATCAACAATAATATCATATACAACTAAGTCTAATACTGCTAAAACTAAAAAAAAAGAATTCAAACAATAATTTATTTTTCTTGAAAATATTTTTTTTCTTTTCTTATCATACGTTGCAAGTCATTTTTACTTGCTTTGTGACAACAAAATAAGAAGTTTCGTAGGAAATTCTATTTACAAATAAGCGATAGATTAGAAATACAAGAAATTTTTATCAATCTTTACATTGGTGTCGACATATTTTTTTTTAACATTAATTTTTTAGTCAAATAAAAACTATGAAACCGAGTAGATCGAATTCATGTTGCTTGTGAAGAAATATTTGAAAATTTTTATTTCAAAAGATGGTGATGAAGGGGGTGGGTGTGGTAGTGAATGTTAATATTTTTTTCAACTCACACTCAACATATACACATAAGACGAATATTTTTTTTCGACTACGACGACGACGACATGATATTGATGTCCGTCAGATGAGAAAAAAAATTAAAAAAAACATACATATATCATTACATAAAAATTGATCGTCAAATCAATTAAAACACACGAAGAAGCATCAATTCACGTGTGTGATGTGATTGATGAAAAATCAATCAAAACCGTTGAATATTAAACAATGAACCATAGTGTATATAAAAACATGGATGTATCATCATAAAACAGTACATTTGCGTTTTCTCAATATGATGCATTACAATGTAATTATATACCCGGGTACATTATTTATTATTATTATATTATTTACAGTGATAATGATATCATTATATTTTAAATAAGGTAAATTATTTGTCTTTATATTTAACAATACTTTTTTTTTAGATGAGCTACGATACAATACAACATTGAGAGGTAAGAAAAAAATTTTTTTTTACATGTTGAGTTGAGTTGAGATAATTTATTTCGAGAAAAAATAAATATTGTCAGTTATTATGAGTATGAGTATGAGTACTTTAGAGATGAGTTGAGTTGAGTTGAGTTATGAATGTTATTAGTGTGGGTAAGAGAACTACGTTTTCTGATTCAATAGGGACAGGAACTTCGTGCCATAGCGAAGCAGTGTAGTACTAGGGAAGGCCTCTATGAATCGTTGGTCCCTACCGTGTTCATACGGCATACCTTCGGCCATTGCCCTACCAGACCGGCGTGGTCCGCCTGTGGTACCTATGGCATTGACAAGGGATCTCTTCCTTGTCGCGCGCGCGCGTGCGCGTAAACCAAAATGAGCCCAGAAAAATCGAAATGGATAGCAATGTGAATAAATTTATTGAGGAAGGAAAAACAACCGTTTACATTTTCTTTTTAACATGATCAATGTTATCTTTCGTTGCTTTAATTAGAGGATGTGTTGATGGAAGTGATTTTTGACGAATAGCAAGTGCCTTTTCTAAGAACGAGAGTGCTTTCGAGTAGTCTCCTTTGCCGAAATACGCCAAACCGATGTTGTTGTAGGAAATAGCCAAATCGGGATGATTCGGAGGCAGAGCTTTTTCTTTTATTTTAAGTGCTTTTTCGTAAAATTCAAGTGCTTTCGAGTAGTCACCCATGTTGTCATACACGAGACCGATGTTGTTGTAGGAAGTAGCCAAATCGAGATGATTCGGAGGCAGAGCTTTTTCTTTGATTTTAAGTGCTTTTTCGTAAAATTCAAGCGCTTTCGAGTAGTCACCCATGTTGTCATACACGAGACCGATGTTGTT